TATGTCCCCCAATGTCCCCCCAGTGTCCCCCCTGTCCTGGTGACCCCCCCGATGTCCCCACAGGCCCCGGAGGGTCCCGACTACGAGAACGTCCCCTCGGCCCCCCCCTGGGACGGGGATGGGGACGGGGAGGGGACACTGGTCTACGCCGCGCTGGCCCTGCCCTGCCCGGGGCCACCCCCCGGGGACACCGGGGACGGGGGGGACACCGTGGAGTACGTGGCACTGCGGCACTGAGGGCACAGCGGGGGGACACCATGGGGATGGGGGGACACCATGGGGACACCGTGGAGTACGTGGCACTGCGGCACTGAGGGCACGGCGGGGACGGGGGGACACCATGGGGATGGGGGGACACCACAGGGACATGGGGACACCATGGGGACACCACGGGGACACTGGGGACACCATGGAGTACGTGGCACTGCGGCACTGAGGGCACGGCGGGGACGGGGGGACACCACGGGGACACCATGGGGACACCATGGGGACATGGGGACACCGGGGACGGGGGGGACACCGTGGAGTACGTGGCACTGAGGCACTGAGGGCACGGCGGGGACGGGGGGACACCACGGGGACAGTACAGGGACATGGGGACATGGGGACACCACGGGGACACTGTGGAGTACGTGGCACTGAGGCGCTGAGGGCACGGCGGGGACGGGGGGACACCACAGGGACACAGGGACACCATTGGGACACCATTGGGACACCATGGGGACATGGGGACACCGTGGAGTACGTGGCACTGCGGCGCTGAGGGCACGGCGGGGATGGGGGGACACCACGGGGACACCACGGGGACATGGGGACACCATGGGGACATGGGGACACCATTGGGACAGTACAGGGACATGGGGACACCATGGGGACATGGGGACACCACGGGGACACCACGGGGACACCGGGGACGTGGGGGACACCGTGGAGTACGTGGCACTGAGGCACTGAGGGCACGGCGGGGACGGGGGGACACCACGGGGACACCACGGGGACACCACGGGGACACCATGGGGATGTTGGGGACACCGTGGAGTACGTGGCACTGAGGCGCTGAGGGCACGGCGGGGACGGGGGGACACCATGGGGACACCATGGGGACATGGGGACAGTACAGGGACATGGGGACACCATGGGGACACCACGGGGACATGGGGACACCATTGGGACACCGGGGACGTGGGGGACGCCGTGGAGTACGTGGCACTGAGGCGCTGAGGGCACGGCAGGGACGGGGGGACACCACGGGGACAGTACAGGGACATGGGGACACCACGGGGACACCACGGGGACGGGGGGACACCATGGGGACACCACGGGGACACCATGGGGACACCACGGGGACACCGTGGAGTACGTGGCACTGAGGCACTGAGGGCACGGCGGGGACGGGGGGACACCATGGGGACATGGGGACACCATGGGGACACCATGGGGACATGGGGACACCACTGGGGACATGGGGACACCATGAGGACATGGGGACACCATGGGGACACGGGGACACCATGGGGACTCCATGGGGACACCATGGGGACACCACGGGGACATGGGGACACCACGGGGACACCACGGGGACATGGGGACACCATTGGGACATGGGGACACCACGGGGACACCATGGGGACATGGGGACACCATTGGGACACCATGGGGACACCACAGAGACACCACGGGGATGGGGGGACACCACGGGGACATGGGGACACCACGGGGACATGGGGACACCATTGGGACACCACGGGGACACCACGGGGACATGGGGACACCACGGGGACAGCACGGGGACACCACAGGGACATGGGGACACCATTGGGACACCATGGGGACACCACAGAGACACCACGGGGA